GCAACCCCTTGGAAAAGGAAGGCTTCTGACATGTGAGTGCAATGACGATTTTATGATTCTTTGTGACCAGTCTGACCAATTGATTGGCCAAGTCACTCAGAGAGAGTGTGCTCTTGCAGAGGTTGCAGCCTTTGAGCCCAAAGACAGTGCCCATTGCTTGCGCTGGAGCCAGGAGGTGAGTCCAATCCGGCTAGTCAGACCAGCCTTGACAATCTTGCTTCGGCAAAAGAATTGGTTCAGAGGGTTGGGTGCAGCGGTTCTTCTCTTGATGTTTCTTGGAGTAGATCCATCTTCGTGTTGTTCCTTTTCATCTCCGTCTCCCTTGCCACCACATCTTAACCTCCTCATTTTTTTAGTGATTTACCTGAAACTCCCTGTCGTATAATAGTTTGAGGAAGATGATGTTTTTTTTTGCTGGGCTGCTGCTACAGCTGCTACTGCAACCTTGCTGGTGGCTTCTGAGAAACCGCTCACTGTACTATTGCACAGCTGCTCACAGTCTTTCTTCAGTGGCTATCGATCCATGCCAGCATTTGTTATGCCAATAATTTGTAAGACTTAATGATGCATCACTTGCATTTCTTGTGGACGCATCAACGTATGGTCAGTACGCGGAAACTACAGCCGAGTGCTGAGATCACAGAATCTCCTCATTAACTTGTCCAGTCCTGGTGCTCACTGAGAAGTCCGAAGACTTGTAGTGAACAAGTCCATGCAATGTCAACAATAGGGTTACCCAATTCTGAAGCGCAAACAACCAACCTTCTGTGGGATCGTTGATGCTGTTTGAGAAGCAGTACCAAACAGTTTGGGTGGCACCACAAAGCTGCAAGCACTTTAGAGAATTGGTGAAGCTCCAGAACTGGCATGAATGAACCTTTGACCTTTGACCATTTGCACCGTTTCTTTCTGCCTTGACTACATAAGGAATTCACCTTCTCCGGGTCAGACGGGAAAACTGCAGCATTTTCGATGCCCACCAAACGCCCTTGCGCTGCATCGCATTCGACTGTTTCCCTGATCGGTTCATCACACATTATGTTTTCTTTGCCACGGCATCTGTCCTTTCGCTTTCGTGCCTACTGTACATACAAGGTTCTTGCATATGGGACCAACCAAATTGTCCCTCAGATATCTAGGTGGTGCAGGATTTCTTCTGCCAACAGGGGTACTAATAGCACTCTTCCTACTGATAAGTAAGTGCAGATCAACCTTCTGAGGATGTGTAACCGTGCTGCAAATGGAAATTCCCAGTCCTTCCCATGTGGCTGATGGGTGTGCACAATGGATGGATTTGCTGGGCTTTGCTTTGCTTTCTCACGGTTAGTCCTTACTTTGCTTGGTTTCACCCAATTTGTTCTATCCCCGAAATGTACCCACCACAGCTTTGGAGGCTGAGCCTTCACGTCTCCGCATTGAGGGCAACTTTGAGGCACCAGTCCTTTGCCGCGAGGCACGACGGTACAGAAGTGTCTACATAGTATTGTCTATAAAATTTCCCAACAATTGAACATAGCTTTAGTGAAATCCAAATGTGCTGGATCATTTGGATCTATGAGGTTTGAATCCAAACCTTGTGTGAGATGAAGCTAGGGTCCCAGCATGAATCAGCTGGCGTTTGTGCAGCACTATATATATATATATATGTAGTCACTGCAAACGATTGCTAGCAACTCCACTGCACGCACATGTGCTTGTGAGACACTAAAGGGGTGTGCAACGTAATTGAGTCAGCACAGCTGAGTGTTGCATCGAATCTAAGACTGCATCGCTGGATGTTCAATGATAAGACTGGGCCACTGATGTTTGTGTTGAGGGGTTGGCACCGTCCCATCGATGGGGTCACTGAGATGCAGATCCGATGGCGGAAGAGGGGGGAGCGGATTGGAGTTAAACTATGTACTGTAATAGTAAGTAGTAAGTTTATAGATGTTTTGGATTGCTGCTGGCTGAAGTTTCACTGGGTTTTGGAGGAAACGATGCTGAATGAAGACGACTTGTCAATGGAGCGTACAAACACATCCTGGAGGATGATGTTTTTTTGCTTTTCCTTAGCCCACCAACAGAAACACAACTGACATGGGGCACCAGCCCAACCATGCTTACAGACGCAGCCACCACGACGAGCTTCACTGCACCATGACACGCATGTGAGTTCCTCACTAACAACCTTACTCAGTCAGAGCTCCAAGCAGACAGGCCTCAAATAGCCTCAAGCCTTCCGTGTTTAGCATGCTGCCAAATTCCTATACCTGCCTCGCAAGCTCAACGCGACTGCCCTACAAGTACTGTATACACTTGTACCACCCAACGACCTAGCTCTTCTGACTTTGGTACTTCCTTTCAGTGGCCCTCCAGAACGTTCTCGCATTGCAAGGTTTTCTCGCAAGCAACGGCAGCTTCATCTCGGTTGTTGGTGAGACAGGTGCATGTGCTGATCAGATGTCAGCCATGGTTTGTTTCTTTTGCTTCTTCAGTCGAGTCTTCCACTTGCTGAGCAAGGCCAGGTTTTCAATGAAGATACAGCTTTTTGAGTAGACTCAGCCTGGCAGTCAAATCTGCAATGCAGATTGAGTTTTGCTACTCGTATCATGAATCCGCTAAGAACTTTGCCAGTTCCCCTTGTGAAGGTTTTCGGCGTGACCATCCCGTATTTTGCAACGCCGAACATGCTCATTCTCAGATCAAGCTTGATTGTCAGGCAAGCATCCCTGCGTACATAGACCATGCGTAGTTCTAGCAAGTCGACAAAAAACAAAGTATGCAATTGTGTGCCCCAATACTCGGACTCTGACCATATGTGTCTGTCTAGTGGAAAGGCTCGGTCTTTATATAGCAAGCTTCTCCCAAGAGCCTACTCCACCAGACTCAATCCCAAGTGTATCGCGGAGAAAAGGGGAAAGGCTGCACCGGCAATGAATTTGTTTTGGGAGTACGTTTCAACTTCAAACAGAGAGCAACCCTTCAGGCAAAATTCCATATGCTCAATATTTGTAAGCATGGAAACCATCGGATGGCGGAGCCAAAGGGCTCAGCGATGGGCCAATGAATGGTAATCGGCAGAAGGGGCCTTTGGGGCTCTACCGGGAGCTCCTGGATCTTGCGAAAGCTGCTTCTGCTGAGGACTTTGCTACAGCTGTGTTGGAGTTCGACCCGTTTGCTATCCTCAACAAGTCTTATTGCGATGTCTCTGCCATGGGTTGCGCCATGCTTGGCAGGCTGCTTAAGAAAGCACTAGAACGCTTGGGGGGGGCAAACCAAGACAAGCCCCCAGCAAACTGATGGTTGGGGAGAAGACCTAAACCTTGCTACAGACCAAACAGATGGATGGGGAGATCTAGATCTGGATATTCCTGATGCCACACCTCCAAACCAAGCACAAGACCATTCAAGAGAGGAGCCCTTGCGGCAACGCTTGATGCGCCAATCGAGACGTTTGCAAGTACTAGAGGCCTTGGATGGTGAGACAGTGAACTCCGAAATCAGTTGGCCAGAACTCCGGGAGATGGATGAAGACTCCTTATGCAAAGTGACTTGCCTTTGGGCAGCGAAGCAATGGATTCCGGCATTGGAAGCACTCTTTTCTCAAGAAGAGAGGTTCGTTTCGTCCCACTGGCAGCTCATCTTGGGATCACTTCCAGAGACGGCAGAAATCAAAGAGGTGAAACATTTGCTTCCAGTTTCTGCTTTTGCTTCAGATCCAGGAAGCGGTGCATTGTTAAAAGTCGATGATGCAACTGACTGGTATTTAGAGAGGGCCCTCAAGATTGTAAGTCTCACTGGCTTGTGCCGAACAGCAACTGGGTCCAAAACTTGTACGGAACTGGTTTCATGTTCCTTTAAACATGCCCATTTAATTTGAACAGTTGATCATGTACCCCCCAAATAGGGAGTAATGACTCAGTGATGACAGCAATATGTCCAGCTGAGGCGATGGACTTGCTAGAATATGGCATTTGCTCTGGGCAAGGACTTCCATGGCCTGAGAGGAGCACTCTTCCAAGTGCAAAGGACTTACCTGAGCTTCAAACGAAGCCTGGAACATCTCAGACCAGAATGTCCAGACTCTATGGAATGTTTTGCTTATGTGAGGAGTATCAGCTCTATTTGCAAGCTTGCCACCAAGACATGTTAGACTCAGGATGGCCACCAGATGAGCCTCCACCCTTGCAATCCTTAGTGCGATTCATGGACTTCTGTGAGTTGTCGCCTTCGGGGCGTCTACGTTTGCTGCTGAAACGGAGCTCTGCATCGACCGTGGTGGAGGACATCCACCAATGGCTCCGCATTTCGCCCTCCCTCGCGACGGTGCCCACCGAGGAGATGGGTGGCACAAGCCTGACGGGCCGGACGGAGCGGTTGAGCCGCGCCTGCCGGGTGGTACCCAAGACCGAGGAGACCCTGGCCAATGCGCTGCTGGGACGGCTTGGAAGTACAGGTTGGGATCCGGAACAGTTCAAGCTCCTGGCGCAAGTAGTGCAAGCATCAAGCCCAGCCTTGCCCAGATCTGAACGAATCATCAAAGACCACACGGTGCTCATGGAATTTATTTTCAAATCGGTGTACAGTGAGGACCAAAGATGCCATGCTGCTGACATATTTGAACGTGTCGATGTCATGTATGGCTGCATTCCAAAGCCAGACTCTGATGCTACCGGCGATGCTGAGTCATGGGCCAAATTCCAAAAGCAGGCGGATGAGCTCGAAAAGCACCTCACATGTGTTGAATTGCTTCTAAAGCACAAGATCAAGCTGTCCTTGAGTTTTGCTGACCTTCGAAGCGGATGCAGCAATGAAAACATGGCCATCCACTCAATGTGGAACTTGTTTCGAGTGCTCGGGGCTCGTTACCGACCGGCTCTTTTCTGGCGAAGCTTCCAGCAAGAACTTTTCTATCTGCACACTCATGCATTTGCGGCTGTTTCGATGAATTCGGTGTACGACATGTACGTGCGCTGTCTTGTAGAGCAAGACCATGTCGAAGTCATGAGCAGTGTGGTTGAGAATTGGACCCTTTGTTGTAATGACCTGGCCTCCAGTTCGTTAGTTGCTTTGGCAAAGGAGCTGGTGAATGGTAGCCCATCACTGCGTCATGCGGTTTTGGAAAAAGCCTCACGTCTGTTGAAGTGTGCACCTTCGCCTCAGGCAGCTGAAGAGCAGGACTTCATAAAGGCTTGTGAGCTACTGCATGATTTGCTGTGGCGGAAACCGAAGCGTACCTTGCGCTGGGTACAGTCGGCTGTGCAAGACATCACCAGTGGCCAAGCCCTGGCACAGCTGTCTGAGATGCGAAGCAACTTTTCAATGATGGGGCAAACGTCCCGAGACCCACGTGAGATTCCACCTGATGCCTCTGCTTTTTCAATGGAAGGCTTTTGCATTGAACTTCCTGTGCAATTGCGCTTGAGGATTCAATCGCCTTTGCGCATTGTGACCGACCTTCTGGAGTTTAATCCACCGATCTTGTTGGAGTCAGAGGATTTACAGAAATTCTGCTCTCTCATTGGCCTTCCACCCAGCTCTCCAAGTTGGGCTGAGGTCATGGCCTTATGCGGTGCAGCTCATTTGCTTTGTGGAGACCGGGCAGGTGAGGCTTTGAGTATCACAGAGAAGCTTCTGGTCAACAAGCATCCTGGAGCATGGAAGTTGGCGGTGGCTCTAGCCACAGATGATGCTGTGGACCAGATGTCAGCTGCTAGCTTGCTGGCAGATGCTGCTCGTGTTTGCTCAGAGAAAGACCTGCCGACACTTTTGAGCTATTTGGAGGGAGCCCCGGCTTGCCGCTCGCAAGAAACAGAGGCTACTTTGTTTCCAATGGACTTGGATGAGTTGGGAGAGATTGCAGCTTCACCAAGCAGTGAAAGCAAGAGCAACCTGGAAGCAGCTTGGCAGAATGAGGACGTCGGAGCAGCAGTGACAGCTTTGGTGCACATGGTGCCCAAGACAGAACATGTAGGACATGACTCAGAGGGTGTGCAAGCACAGGCAGTGCAGGTGGCCAATTTCTTGAATTGCAACGAGATGACGAAGTCTGAGTCTTGGGATCTGTGTGCCGATCTCCTGGACCGTGAATGCCCAGAGACAGAGCCGGATCGCGAGGATCGCGTTGCAGTCTCTTCCGCGTTGCGGGCGCTGTGTGAACTTTGTCCCGACTTGGACAGTGCCTTGGGTGGAGAAGGTCGTCCGGAAGAATTGGTCCAGCGTCTTCTCAAGCGAGCTTCAAGTTCTTCCCCATCTGAATCCTTGGCACTTGCAAGGGCGGTCGCTGGTGTACCAGAGCTTGTGAAGATGGGAGTCACCTCTTCCACCATTGCCTTGCATGCGGCCAAAGCTTTGGTCTCTACAGATTTGGACCTAGGCCCTTTGATGTTTTGGCTGGAACCGACCGAGGCTCTGCAGTTCTTGGAGTTTGCCTTGGATATTCCCTTGGAGCGCGCCAGGACCTTAGAGGTGATTGCCCTTCTGCGATTCAAAAGCGATGATCGACTTTCCGTGGCTTTGCTTCAAGCAGAAGCGCTGACGCTCCTCAGATCCACTGGAAAATCGGAGATGGAGAGCGTGAACCTGCGACTGCACCCCGAACTCTCCATGGAAGAGATCAAGCGCCGATGGTTGCAAGAGATGGCACATTTGGACAGCTTTTTGCCGATAGCCGAGACCTTGCTGGAGACAGGATTCACACAATGAACATGTAGCAGAGAGACGCTTTCTGAGAACAGGGAAACCCAAATTGGAGAAGAGCGGCGGTGGTGAAAAGCAGTGTAGCCTCATACTCTTGACCTGACGAAAGCCATGGGCGCAGTGTTCTGCCTTGTTATATCAGCTATATAATATCGAAAGAAAGGTAGAACTGTGGAGCAAAGATGCAACTGTGATGTTTGTTTCTATAAAAACATCCCACTGGACATGCTTCATATACATACAGGGATTCAACGCTTCCCAACAGGGCCATCTCGCCATCTCAGATGACCAGGAGTGGCTTCAACGCTTCTGGAATTCCCAAGCGTCGCTTCGGGCTGCGACGTTTGGTGGCGCGAGGTCTCAGAGGCTCGATGAGACATGTCGGAGAGGTTTGCTGTGGAGTCCATGCTTCCTGAAATGTCCTTGAAGAAGTCCAAAAGAGACACTTGGGGAATGGAATCATGGAAGAAGCTTGCCAGAAGTGGAAGGGCTGTATCATGGAGGTCATTTCAAGAGCATCCACATGTTGGACGCCAATTAGGATTAAACGTCATGGATAATTTCTCCTAAGCAGCAGGATGTGATTCCACCGACACCAGAGCTTGCGATGCCTTTGTGGGAGGAGTGGGGAACAATTCTTTCGTTGGAAGTGAAACAGAGCGTAGAAAGACAGGAAGGACATATTTTGCACTGATGAAGCATAGCTGTCATGTGCAGGACGGTCGAGCCATGACCACTCACGTGTGTAACCTAGCTGAGATGCATCCGCTTTGCATAGACCATCCGGTTGTAATGGCATCTTGAGGCTGGTATGGTGGGTCTTTGCTTCGCTACCAACTCCAGCAGCCTGGGGTATATCCCTTTGGAAGGCCAAATGGGAGGCTGATTGAAGCTAGATATTGCGTATAGGGCTAGACATATCACGGAGGACGTACAATCTGGATCCTTATTACATCGTGAGTATGCAGCCTAGCAAAACACACCAAGGGTCTCTCAGGACCTGAGATGGGCCAGTGCCACTTTCTCGCAGATGGTGAGCCAAGAGCTTCTCAGCCCAAGAGATTCATGCACATTTCAGCCTAACAGACTCATGCGGATATTAGATGTTGGAAAGGATCTCCAAGGCTGGCAACGATCAATTTGTTTGGTTGGAGTAATTCAGTGAATTCAGACAGGTTTATGTCGAGAAGATTTGTGAGGGTGAACCTGTGTATTTGGCTTTTGTCCAACAATGGGGCTTCAGAGAAGCTTCCGAGGTTTTAACTGGTGGCCTTTTTCACCTTCTCCAGGCTTGTGGCTGGTTTTTGACTGAATCAGCCAAAGCCTTTGCACATCCAGAATCAAATACTTGTATGATGTTAATAAAGATTCTTTCTGCCATGCAGTCCTTCAATTTGACAACAAAAACTTGTTCTTTACCATGTGTTACAGCAAGCTTACTGTCTCCTGCAGGCAAGGCCCAAAGTGGCACCCTGCGCAGAGGCCAGGAGATCCTTCACTCGAAAGGAACCAGCAGACACCCATCACAGGCTTTTACTCATGGCTTCAATAGTCAATATATTTCAATCTTACTCTGACTCATAATGCTTCGGCAGAAGGCACGGGCTTCTCAACCAAATCTAGAAGACAAGGAAGGACTTCGAAAGCAAAGCATCGCAGTTGTTCTTGAAAGCGGGTACGCCACAGCACCTTGCAACAGGGAGATCTGGCTCGCCAGCAGCTGCTTCGTGGCTTGCGTGGCCGCCTGGCACCTAGCAAGTCAAGTTGGTGAAGGTGGTGAGGCTACCGTTGAACGCAGAAGCTTCCGTAGCATCTCAGCATCTCCTTTCTGTTTTGAATGTCCTTTTCTTCCATTCCTTTTCTTGTATCCGAAATTGGCACCCTTCGGGGCCACCAAAGGGCATCCCCACAGGCGCCAGCGTTGGAGCATGACCACGTACAGCATTTTTTACACAGCACTGCAGCGTTGAGGAATAGACCGCTTTCTGAGCCAAGAGGATCACGAGCTGCTGGAGAGGGTGGTAAGCCATTCAGGCAGCGATGGAGGTCAAGGCAGGGTTTGGTGCCGCTGATAAGACGGTAACATTTGATGCCGATTCTGCGAAAGCTAGAGCGAGAAAGGACTCATGGGTTCAAGCTACCCAAAAGTGTGCTCTTGTCATATTTTGTGAAGGTGCAGGTGCGTGACCGATTTCTCTCATGTCATAAAGCCAATCACAGGGACGAAAGAGAGGTCAATACCGGGGCGCTTTTTGTATGCTTTGCCACAGAGAGACAATGCAGCTGGCTTGTGCAGGTGGCATCTATGCCAGGCTTTTAAACGCCCTGAGCTTAGTTAGTTCAACTAGCTGAGAGCGAATGCAAAGTGCCAATGAAAGTGCAGTTAGAACATGATGTATACATAAACACAGTTCTCACTGTACATTCCGAACGACCTTTTGGCACAAATGCCTGAATTGAGGAAAAGGCGGGCAGACCCTCGTTCGAGCTATAGGTGGTTGAGGCATACTTTCACGGTATACTTGACTAACACCCACTCGCAGGTTCTCAGCCGTAGAGCTCTTGCTGCGAGCTATAGAGAGACCACAATATTGACCTGCAATGTCAAGTTTTGGTGGGAGCGAAAGTGAACCCTATTCCTTTATGAGCTCAATTGACGCCACCATCATTATGATGCCTCCAAGTTCGATGGTATCAGGTGAAGGCAAAGCTGTGCACCGGCCAGTATTGCTTGTGTGCTTGCACGATCTGGCCATACAGCTGAGGACCAGGATCAATGGCAAATGACGAGTACTGGAACTGGTCATCCTTAGCCTCAAGACAACGTCCAATGTTGAAGTCTTGTACAAGTCTATGGGTTTGTATCAACAAGAGAACGAGGCGCCGCCGCGTCCAACATGAGGATACTCTGACCAGAACTCCAGTCTCATGCGTATGACGTTAATGCGTACAACACGCTGAGGGAGATGCCAAGAAGATGCCCCCCCAATAGAAAAGAAGGCCGTGAAGAGTGTGGCCAGTCTTCCAGAACCCATGGCCAGCCTGAACCAAGCCAAGGCCTCTAACCCAAGAGGGAAGAAGTAAGCATGGACAAGAGGAATCTTCCTGGGAAGAATCAGAAGTATTGCCCATTCAGTCGTAAGAGGCCTCGATCTCCCTCTCAAGGACGAGAGAAAGAGCTGGGAAGAGAAAGGAAGATAACTTGTTGGGGATCAGTGAGAGGTACACGCACTAAGGGCAAGGAGCGCAAGCTTTATCGTGATCCAAAGGCCGCCCAAGAAGTCGAAGCCGCGGCTGATAGGGAGGCAACAAGCAAGCTGCAGAGGCACAACAGAAGAAGGGACGGGAGGACGACTCGCAAGTTGATCGCCAATCAAGAACCTCCAGCTCGCCCACAAGAAGGAAGACGTTCTGCATCAAGTACGTCCAAGACTAGTCCAAAAGAAGATGAAACCTATCTAGACCCCGGAGCTTCACCCTCGTCCACAACATGGTGTCTTACGCTCCAAAATGAAGAGCGGACGCGCAAAAATGAAGGGGAAGGACAAAGGCCAGGGAAGAGGAGCGAAAGGCAAAGGCAAAGGTGTGAAAGGCAAAGGATAATAAGACGCCAAAGGCCAAGAACGTGGATATATGGTGACGCTGCGTACCTCCGCATTTGCCTCAACATGATCAGCCAAAGCCAGGCGCCCATCTTTGTGAACGACCAGACCGATGGACCGAACAGCATGCGGGTATGCAAGACTATCAAGGCACAGAACCCCCCAATTTACCAAGTGGTGGATGGAGGAGGACATGGCGCGCGCAGGGTTCATCAAGCCGAACATCAAGCCTTGCTGCAAATCCTGAGCCCACAAATCCATTCCACTTGGACTATCTCCTGAGTGTGGATAAGTCATTGTTTACAAAGTCCGCATCAGTTTACTAGACTAGGTCGTAGTTGGAATCTAAAAAGCCTGCGGCAAACATGCATTTCTGCAACTGCAGTGCCCTTACAAGTCAAGTGCATGGTTGAAGAACTTCAGCCAAACATGGGGGGTGCTAATGGAAGTGCAGTGCAGATAGAGCATGATGTCCAAAGACAGTTCTCATTGTACATGCCAAACTGCCAAACAACCTTGCGGCTCAAGTGCCCGAATTGAGGAAAAGGTGTGCAGACCCTCGTGCCAGCTATAGGTGGTTGAGGCATACCTTCACGGTATACGTGACTAACACTCACTCGCACTAAGACTCATTCGGTGGACACGAGGTGAGGCCACAAATGTTTTGACGCCTGAGAGCTTGAACGATCCTAGCCTTTGGACGACTTCAGGTCGACAGCGTTCAATTACACGTGGCTTCACTTGGTGAACGAACTACTTCAATACACCAATGCCAGTGCTGCCAAAGCTGGTTCAATGTGTTTGGAGTTTTCATATGTGGCTTTTGATTCCTTTTTGCAGGGCCTGAACCAGCTGGATGCCTGTCAGCTTAAAGAGGTGGACCCTGGACCCTGACAACAGGGAAATTTGTTTTTTCTGCGTTGCCTGCGCTTGTCCTCAACTATTACTCTGTTTTTTTTGTTTTCTTTCCTGTGTTGCAAACATGCTTGCTCTATGTAGCCTTGGCTTTACATGGGCGATTGGTGGTCGACTTTGACATGTTTGAGTGAGATGAACATGTGGAGAGCACCGCCAACTAGTGCCACTCGTACAGTTCGTTTCCAGGTGCTTTCATCCTCTCGCTTCGTGGCCCACGAGCTAAATACGCTCGGCCTTCATGTGCGTCTTGGCAGAGAAGTTCCATTCAGTGCCAAAGTAAGCACGATTGACTCCTTCTGGATGGAGAGATATCCCAATGATAATTGCATAGCAACACCTTTTATTCAACCTATACATTCGCCACCTGGTAGCTCAAAGCTCTGAGGCTACGGAGCCTGCTGGCAGAACGCATGGTCACTGCTAGAACTTTGGGCCGAGGAGATTGTTGACATGATCTGAGCTGAACATGACAGACTTTGCATGTAA